CGGCGGCGGCGGCGGCGTCCGGCAGTGCTCCTCCTCCTCCTCCTCCTCCTCCTCCGTGCGGAAGATATCGGCGAGGAACCTGGCCGCCGCGGCGGCCGCGCGAGGGGTTTCGTCAGAGGAGGAAGGACCGGCGATCAATGGAGAGCGGCGGCAGCAGCGGCAGCATCCTCCCCCGGGTAGCACTGCGGCACCGGCACCGGCAGCTTCTGCCCCGCCTCCGTTTGTGTTCATGTTCGGGTCGCCGCCGGCCGGAGCACGGCAGGGCGTTAGCCCCCCGCCGCCGCCGCCGCCGCCGCCGCCGCCAAGGTTCAGGTTCAGGGCCGGTGCGGCGGGCCAGCAGGAGCAAAGGAAGGACGGGGACACCGCCACGGGCAGGAGCTCCGCGCAGGAGTTCATGCAGCAGCAGCGCGGACACCAACGCCAGCACGGAAACGCGGAGGCAAGCAAGGCTTGGAATTGTCCGAGCTGTATTTTGTTGTTTTCTCTCTTCGGGAGGCTTATCTTCTTTATAGACTTGTTGGGGGCCAGAATGACCTAATCGGGTACCCATGATGCCGCCGTTTATTGGAACAGTTATAGAACTGCCTTTTGCTGGTCGCAGGCTGTGGAACCTGCTCGAAGAGACGCTCATCAGCTTCCGAGCAGCTGTCGAGCTGTTCACGCGAAAAATATCTACCAATACCCTTTTTTCTCTTGAATTAACAAGTACCTACGTGTGGCAGATTATATTTCCCTCCATAACCCCCCCCCGCGGCCGGCCATGTTCTTGATACTACGTGTTTTCTACTGCTGTAACAATAGAATGGCGAGGAATTGAGCTTTGACGAGCCGGCGATGGCACCGGTGAACTCGGGGCCGCTTCCCACTCGTCTGGGAACGGGTTTCAGCTTCGGGCAGACGGCGGCGCCTTCGGCAGCGGGCAGTAGGGGATCGGGGAAGCGCAGGTATGCCACCTGACCCCCCCCCCTTTTCTCTCTCGCTGCTACTGGTTCACTGTGGGATATTCCGTGCTGTGTCTGGACGTACGTCTCGGTGGAGACGTGTTTTGTGGTTCGTGTTTACGTGTGTCTTTGTCGGTTCCCTGCCGTCGTGCGGCGCTTGTTGCTGGTTTTTCTGGTCGTCGCTTTGTGTCGTTCTCGTCAGATCCCGTCTCCTCTTTCGTGTTGGTTTTTTTGTTCTTGTTGATTTAGCCCACCCGTCCTCTGGCAATGTAGTTGGGGAGTGTTCGTTGTACAAGAAGGAGAGGGAAATGTACATGACTGAGCTGGGAAAAGTAGAAGGAAGGTACAGGGAGATGTTTCAGGCATGGAATAGCGAGGAAAAGACTATAACCGTACTGGGGCGTAGGAAGTGGGTTGAAAAGGCGGGGAAGTGATCTCGGTAGGATAGATAGGGACGACATTTTTGAGCCACCTTTGGCAAAGTAGGAAGGAACGATTGGCCATCGGCGATCGGTCCTGTGAGAACAATGCTCCGTCCTCTCGAGGACGCGTGGTCAATGGTCTAACCGCTAAGGCATGCAAAACATGAGAGAACCCTCCCCCCCCCCCCGTCCTGTGGCAGTATGGTAGGTAGCCCTCCCCTCCCCTCCTGCCATGCGCATGTCATGCCGACTCTTTCTTCGCGTTGGCGCCCGTGGCCGTTTGTCGATATGACGCAAGTCGCGCGCATATTCCAGAGAACGATACTTGTTGCGACACTGGTGCGTCCATCTCCAGGGCCCGTATACGTGAGGTCGCTTGTGAGCACTGCCACTTTGTCGCGGAACAGCCAGCCGTCGGCTTCAACCCCCGTAGCAATCGATATGCTGTTTGACGTGCGCTTGCCGGTGACGTTGTAATCTTGCTAGTGCCTTTTTGTCTTGGGTGGAACAGGGCCGGCACCCGGAGCCAAGACAAGAAATTGCCACAGTCCCGCCCCGCCAGGATGGGCGGCGGCGGCGGCGGCGGCGCATCTTCCGTTGACGTCGGCCTGCTCCGTAGACAACAGCACCAGCACATGCAGAAAATGCAGGAGCCAACGGCACACGGTGGTGGTGGTGTTTTCGCGCCGCCGGGGGGGGGTGCGGCGGGATCGGGGTTGGCCGGAGGGGCTGGTGTGGGTGTGCCGGCGGTGAACGAGGCGGCCGCTGCCTTCAAGGAGGCGTGGCTGAGGGGCAAAGAGGAGGAGGCGGCGAGGGATCGTGAGCAATGGTGAGCGCGCGAGGAACGGCGCACACCGCTTGTACAATGTCCTGCCGTAAACTAAAAAAAACTTGGGAGTTCAACTGAAGTTTAAAGCAAAGAAAAAAACGATTGTTTTTTCTTGAATGTATCATGTCTGTAGAATTTACGATTTACGTAGTAACTAATTTTTTGTGGTAAAAGTAGTAAAAAGTAGCCAAGTCCTCAGCGGTTGATTGACTAGCAGGCGTGCTGTGTGTTCTGTGGTGTTGTGTGCCATGGGCAAGCAAGCAGCCTTCGGTTTTTGTGGTGGTTGTTGTTCTTGGTGTCCTCATCACTCTGTGGTTCCGGCGTGCACGCCGCATGACAGATTCAAGTGCAGCCCGACATTCGAACGGCGTCGCTGCACTAGGTTATTTTGATCGAGGTCGTGCATCCTATTTACGAAGGGAGGAGGTCGGGGCATGCCAAAAGTCTCCGCGATTCCGGCACCTGTTAAACGGTACTTCGTAGAGAGCAGTGCACGAAGGTGCACCCAAAGTATACCTTCGAATTGCGTCGAGCCACTCCCGGACTCTTGTGCTGCTGCTGCTGCTGCTGCTGCTGCTGTGTGTGTGTTGTCGTGCAGGGAGCGCATGCAGCGCGAAGAGCAGCAGCGGTTACAGGCGGTGGCGAACCTGGAGAGGCTGCGGAAGCGGCACGAGTCCGACAAGGAGAGCGCCCGCCGAACCTATATGGAGTCCAAGAGGTGAGGTGGGCGTCTTTGTCGGAGGGAGGGGGGGGGTGTACTCATAGCCAGTCGTGCATGCCGTAGTCATTGGACCATTGACCTCTCGCATTCCTGCAAAGCCGGGACGGAGCACGCCGGGTTCTCCCCGGACCAGGCTGTCACATAACCAAGCGCGAAGCGCCTGTGAGGTATTCAACGAGTCGCATGGGGAGGGGGGGGGTGTACTCATAGTCGTGCATGCCGTAGTCGTTACACCATTGACCTCGCATCCCTGCGAAAGCCGGGACGGAGCACGCCGGGTTCTCACCGGACCAGGCTCTCATATCACCAAGCGCGAAGCGCCGTGAGGTATTCGGCGAGTCACATGAAGGGTGCGCTGCATCCTGCTAAGGGTGTTCGGCATCTTGTGCTTACGTGCTTGCGTACGGATGACAGCTGCGTATGACTTAATTTATTTTCTGGTGCTTTCACTTCCAGAGACAGTTATAAGCACTGTGTAGCTGCCTCGAGGGTGCTTTACCAATTGAACACAACGTGGTGCGATAATCTCCTTTGCGCGGAGTGAGGGTTCTCGACCTCGCACAACATGATCTACTCGACCACCATTATGGTTACCGCCAAAAAGAAAACAGAGGTAATAAAAAAAAAACGGTAACCTGGTTGCCGAGTTCACGAAGTGAATTGGCTTGTTTTACAACGTCGTTGCCAAGCGACGAAAACCCAACCCCGATGGAAAACGCCGGGGGGGGCAGGGAGGGGGGGGATTTTTTCGCGTTGCCTTTTCGGTGTTTTGGCTCTTTGTTGGTCCTCCATGTCTTTTGTGGCTTTCTCTCCACTGGCGTGATCATGGGACATCAACTGTGACTTTCAAGAGGTGTTGTTCGACGTTTTCTGTTTCTTTTTCTCACACCTCTTTTTCGCCTCGTGCCACTTTTTCAAGTCTATCCCTCCTCTTTGTTTGTTCGTCTCTGGTCTCTGTCGGATGGGTCTCCTATATCGAACAACACCTCTTCATTGTGCTCACACCCGCTACATAGCTGTTCGCCAGAACTCATGAGAACCAAGCAATGCAGTGTGTAGAATTTGTTTTAGGTTCTTGTGTTAAAAAAAATGTTGTTGGGGAAGGCGTGTGGAAGCATCAGCAACCAAAACAGAAAAAAAAAACAGCGGTAACGAACAACTCGAACCCGGAATGTGCCTGGCCACTGCCGCCATCCGCCGTGCCCATAACGAACTCTCCTATGCAACACTACTCGTACCGCTCAGTTATCACCATCTACAATTGATACTTGGAAGAGTATAGAGATCGAACCCATGCGCACCCACGGGACGAGTATTGATGGCGCTACATGGGCTCTGTTGCAAAGCGAACCGGACCGGCCAATCCGCTCTCTCGAGCCACCATATCAGCGACCCTTTGACATGTGCGTTAACCTGACCACGACGCCGTTGCATGCATCTAACTCAACCTTTGCCACATGTGTACGTACCACAAACGTGCAGCTTCGAGGCAGCGGCGCTCGAGTACACGACCGCCATCCGCTCCCTCGAGGACCTCCTGTTCCACATCAAACTCCACGGGGACGAGCGCGGTAACCGGGGGGAGGGCGCGGCGGACGGCGGGGGCCGGAAGCGCCTGGCGCCCCTCTATTGGAGCCGGGCGGCCGCCCACATCATGATCGGGAGGTACCGCAGCGCGGTGAAGGACTGCGCCCTGGCTCTCGAGTCGGCCGCGGACTGGGATCAGGTGTGCGCGTGCGTTTGTGCCGTCGTGCCTTCCCTGTTTCTTAGTGTCGTAGCTGTAATAGTTTGTGTTGTAGCTGTTGTTTTGTCTTTTTTTTGCTGTTCGCTGCCTGTGGCGGTAGGCTCGTGGTTTGTGGCAATGCCGTGGGGAAGTGTTCGCGCCACTACTGTTTGTAGCGGCTGTTCGTGTGATGCCGTACACGTGTTTCGCTTTCTCCGTGTTTATGAGTTTGGCTGAGGTGCACCTGGTGCTGTGTACAGCTCAGCGGCTGATTGGGTTTTGAGAGGCAGACCGTGTTGTGCGGTGTGTGTGGGGCGAGCAGTCGATGGACGTGATTTGCAGGTAGTTGTTTTTTGTGTCTTCATCGCCCCGTGATTCCGGCGTTCGTGCCACATGACAGATAGCAAGAGAAGTGAAGCATGGCTTTTGTTGCAGTACTTCAGCTTCTCGCTGACGCCTGTGGCGGCTGAAGGAAAGAAGGGCCATCAATCAGATCATCAACTACCCTTGTTGGTCTTGTTCTCAATTGGTTCCCTGGGTGATGGTAACCCAGATCGTCGACACCCCCTTGCCTGTGATACCCCCACGCCCCCACCTCATGGTTTTTTCGTGCGTACCCCGTACCCCCCACCCTGCGCCCGCTTGCTTGGTTGCTTCGACCGACCTAACGGCGGCAATAGGCGTACCCGCGCATGGGCAAGGCTTTGATGCTGGCAGGGGACCTGGGTGAGGCCGACAAGGCTTACCGACTAGGCATCCTACAGGTAAGGCACGGGGGGAGGGGGGGTGTACTCATAGTCGTGCATGCCGTGGTCGTTAGACCATTGACCTCGCACCCCTACAAGGCCCGGGCGGAGCACGCCGGGTTCTCACCGGACCAGGCTCTCACATTACCAAGCGCGAAGCATCGTGAGGTATTCGGCGAGTCGAATGAAGGGTGTGCTGCATCCTGCTAAGGGTGTTCGGCATCTTGTGCTTACTTCCTTGCGTACGGATGACAGCTGCGTATGACTTAATTTATTTTCTGGTGCTTTCAGTTCCAGAGACAGTTGTAAGCACTGTGTAACTGCCTCGAGGATGCTTGACCAATTTAACACAACGTGGTGCGATCATCCCCCTTTGCTCGGAGTTAGGGTTCTCGACCCCGCACAACATGATCTACTCGACCACCATTATGGTTGACGCAAGAAAAAAAAGGCGACGGCCAAAAAAAAAATCGGTGACCTGGGTGTCGAGCTTACGAAGTGATGGGGTTGTTTTATAACATCGCTGCCAGCGCCGGGGGGGGGAGGGGGGGACTTTTTGTTGCTCTTGTGGTCAGCAAGCATCAGGTTGTTTTTTCCCCCATTCTCACTGACGTATCTCTGTCGCAGCAGGTCTTTTTTTTTTATTGTCGAATGTGCGTATAATATCAAATCACCGTATGTTCGGCGCGGCTTTCCCTACCCCCCCGTTTGTGTCACGTGTGCGGGTCTGTCCTTGCTGTTGTGCTGTCGGAGCTGTTGCTGTTGTAGCTGTTGTTGTCGTCGCAGCCGTTGTTATCCTTGTATTGCTGTGACTATACATGTGTTGCTTCTGCCCTCGTGTTGCAATTGTGGCCGTGTGTTTATTTGGCGCCCTTATTTTTTGTTTTTTCGTCAACGCAAACCGCTTTCTTGCTCGCTTGCTCGCTCGCTTGCTCTATTGCTTACTTGCTTGGTTTCTTGCTTGGTTTCTTGCGCGCTTTTGCTCGCTGGCATGCCTGGTTGTTGGGTCGAAAGAAGACTCCGTTCACCGAGGACGACGTGCGGCGCAACAAGGAGTGCAACCTGGGCATCGCCAACGTGCACGCCGTCAGGGTCCACGTCGAGAATGGAAAGGTTGCCCTCAAGAGGTGCGTCCTTGTGTTCTACGGTGCCGCAAACATCCCCCACGGTATTCTGTATTAAACGTCCCGGTGTTGTCCCGTGCGGCCGAACGTGGACGCTTGGTACCGCGAGTTTTCATCCCATGGTGTGTTGGAACGCCAGTGCTCCAATGCTTGGCTTGTCCTTTCGAGCTCTTCGCGTCTGGAGCACGAGGTTGGGTGTGTGAAGACGTTTTCGCACAAAGGCGGCGTGTTTGTGTGCGTGTGTATGTGCGCGCGCGCGGCGTGTGTTTTTTCCTACCGGGGTTGTTGGTGTTTCGGTTGAGGCTACGTTTTGGAGGGCACACACATGTTGACAGCGACAGCTTTGCACGCTTAGAGGTCCCGAGTTTCTGCCCCCATTGCCTACGCCGCTGGCGTGTGTCGTGTGGAAGATAGACACGCTGGCACCCTGCTGAGGTCGATGACCTCTTGCTGCTCCCGGTGCTGTATCTGCTCGCGATGATGACGTTGACGAACACGATTTATTGCGAAAGTGCTGGCGTGCTTTTCGACGACGATGAATGTACTGTGTTCCGTCTTGTCGAGTTTTTTATTTTTGATGCTTCGATTTCCCTTCACCACGTCCTTGTTCTGTGCTTGGTTCTTTTTTGTTGTTGATTTTCTCAGGAAGGAGATCGAGCGCGCTATCGACTGCGCAGAACGAGCGCTGGCGCTCGCGCCTAACCTCGAGTCTGCCCAGAAGTTGATCGTGAGCAGTAAATGTACTAGC